GAGATTATGACATATTTCCTGTGCGTCTGTGACTGGCACTTTATAGTAGCATTCCTTAAAAGTTGAGAGGTGGCCAAAGCATCATTCAGATTCGTTGTGAGATATTTCTAATGTGGAAAACCTTCAGCCAGATTGATTCTGTATGTTGTTTCCATGTCTAAATAAAATATCACTTGAATTACACATACATGGTACATGGAAGGAAGGAAGGAAAGATAACAGATACTTAAAAATAGGGCAGAGAGAAATACCATCACTACAACAATTCAAACACTTATTTCAAGCAATCAACAAGTAGATGAAGATAAGGAATATTCTGGTCAATGACAAAAGTTACACATTTTGTTCTTTGGCTTGTGCTTTTTTTGTTTGCTTGTAATGATCACTTGAATATTCAGTGCCAAGGAGATGTCTTAAGGAACCTGAACCCGTGAACCAACTGTTCAGCCACTTGCCAAACAATTTATTCAAAAGTGAGGAAATTTACATAGGGAAGTTCAGGCTTTGTCCATTCTGTTCCTGAAACCTTACTTAGTAGAAGCCAAGGATTTTCTTCACAGTATAGAATTGCCTTAAAAGCTGTCTGACTCAGTATGGTAAATCAAAGAGTCTAAGCGGGAGCCCAAGCTGCTTATGAAACCAGGACAGACTCTCTGGTGTGCACAGAACAATCACTCAGAATAGCCAGCTGAGACCAACCATGGAGAGAATGGCTGTTTCTCCGTGGATGGAGAGAATACCCATCTCTAAGGAGAAACCTGCAAGCCCTGTAGGTTAATACTCCTTCTGGCTGTCCAGAAAGCCAAGCAGGGAAGAAGCTAGCAAGGTGTAGGGCAAAGAGCACAGAAAATAACTGTTAGTTTGAGAAGTCCCAGGATAGCTATTTGGCCACCTACGGGACATGATGGCAGATTAGCACAGAATCACAGAATCACAGAATGGCCAAGGTCAGAAGGGACCTCTAGAGATCATCTAGTCCAACCTTGCTGCTCCAGCATCTCATACACCTAGAGCACGTGGCACAGAGTGCCATCTAAGCAGGTTTGGAAGATCTCCAGAGAAGGAGGCTCCACAACCTCCCTGGGCAGCCTGGGACAGAGCCAGGGCTCTGTCACCCTCACAKTAAAGAAGTTCCTCCTCACATGGAGATGGAACTGCCTGTGTTGCAGCTTGTACCCATTACCCCTTGTCCTGTCACTGGCCACCACTGAGAAGAGCTTGGCCCCTTCTTCCCTGCATTCCCCCTTCATTAACTTATACATGTTAATCAGATCCCCTCTGAGCCGTCTCTTCTCCAGAGAAAACAGGCCCAGCTCACTCAGTCTCTCCTCATACGAGAGATGTTCCATTCCCTTAATCATCTTTGTTGCCCTTCTCTGGACCCTCTCGAGAAGCTCCAGATCCCTCTTGTACTGGGGTGCCMAGAACTGAACACAGTACTCCAGGTGCGGCCTCACCAGAGCTGAGTAGAGGGGCAGAATCCCCTCCCTTGACCTGCTGGCAACACTCCTCCTGATGCAGCCAGGATCCCATTGGCCTTCTTGGCCACGAGGGCACACTGCTGACTCATGGTTAACTTGGTGTCAATCAGGACTCCCAGGTCCCTCTCTGTGGAGCTGCTTTCCAACAGGTCGACCCCTAATCTGTACTGGTATCCGGGGTTATTCCACCCCGGTGCCAGACCCTGCACTTGTCCTTGTTGAACCTCATGAGGTTCCTCTCTGCCCAACTCTCCAGCCCTTCATCCAGATCCCTCTGGATGGCAGCACAGCCCTCTGGAGTATTGGTCACTCCACCTGCTCCACTCGTTACTAGCCACTACGGTCACTCCAACCCTTACTAGCAAGTGGGCAGTAACCCCAAATACAATCTTCTCTTATTCCTGGCCAAAGTAGCACAGCCAAGTGACAGCTACTTACCTTTCTTCTACTCAGGTTGGAGAAAAGAAGTTAACAGTTCTATGCAATCACTAGTCCCATGGATTGAGAGTATATTTTAACTAGCACTATTGCAATAGATGGGGCAGGCTTTGTATATATGCAGGCTCTGCTGTTACTGCTTCCTTTTKGGAATTTGCAAGATGCTCTGTGCGACCTCAGGTACTACCAGATCTGCTCTCCAGAGAGGGGAAGGCTGCATGGGTAGCTGTGGCCTCTTGCTGTGTTAGCTTCTCTCAGCTCTACCAGGCATCTAGATACTACTTAGCTACTTCTGCCCAATGAAACAGGAAGGGAGAAGAAAGTGAAACCACATTTTTTTTTCTATTCCTCCTTCATTCTTTGAGATCACTTTCAGTGTAAGGAAATCTGTGTGTTTCTGGAGGGCACCCCAAGTGTTTTTTCTTGAACTCACTGCTGATTGCACTCATTCTATGGTCTTTGGCAAAATTTAAGTGCCTTCCTTTTCATTGCTGAATTGCAGTAGAGCTTAGATGTCTGTTTCCCCTGGCTTGGGGACTTTGAGAGTCTGGTTATCCCCTCTAAGACTTCTGGTGCCTAATGGCCATCTAATCTGAGATTTGAACAAGTGAATACAATTTGCTTTTAGGCCAAATACAGTACACTCTTCCTTGCCAGTGATGAAGCCAGTCAGCAAACTCTGAATAAGCACTTTTCCTCTTGAAAATTAGATGCCTCCGTGGACTTAGCTTTGATACAAGAGAGTAACTTTCCCTAGCTAAAATAGCCACCTAAGCAATCCATGCATTTGTGGGTTTTTTTCTCCCCACTTTACCGAATCTTTGTGGATTAAGAAAGGCTGCTTAATCTGTGAAGTACGTGGTTCATAATAAAGACGGGTCCACACATGCATCGTCCCTGCACTCCATCCTGGTTTGCCCAGCATTAGGGGCTTTGGAAAGACCCACAAGGTGCTGTGCATTTATTGTTGGCCTGCAGAATCATTTCTCAAGTGAAACATTGCTGAACAAGTGCCAGAAAACTGACTGTCCCCTATCTGTCCTTTACATATGGCTGTTTCTTCCTACCCAGTTAGCAGCTGTGGCTGGGAAAGTCACATCCATAAGAATACTCAGATTGCTTTGGCTGTGGCCATAAGAATATTTCTCRGGATAGTATGGTCTGAAATCTGGTCAAGCTACCCTGAATGCAAGCACCAAACAAACAAAAAAAGGCTGCAGAGGTGACCAAATGCTGCAGCATAAATCAGCCATTCCCATCAACTTTGGTCTAAGAGCTTAAAAGTACCTCAAGAAACAGTTTGTCACACAGTGATTTCCCAACTCCTTCCCATTGCCTTCACTGTGGTTTCACAGAGAGGGCCCCATCCATCATGGGAGCACCTTACTCATGTGGGATACAGTGTCTGTAAACCTGTTTTTGATGGGTATCATCTGGGCTACCACAGCAGGAGTTAGAAGTGCGATTGCATTTGGAGTAAGAGAGCCAGCAGCCCAGAAGTTGTTGTTTCATACACATATATGGGGAGGAAAGGGCTGTGAAGGGAGTGAAAAGGCATATGGATTACAAAGTGCCATTCAGTTTAGAAGAAACAACCATATTGGCTAGATTGGGCAGTGCACAGCTATAACTTTGCAATAGATTCCTCTGAACATTTTCTCTTCTGTTTCCCACCTTGGCCACTGCAAGTCATGACAGGCAGGTCTAAGGTTTGGTCTCTCATGATCAACTACAAACTACAGGGACTACTACCTCTCATTTAAATTGCTGCAAGACTGATGCCTCCTGGCTTTCTGGCATGTGCATCAGGTCATACTGGGGCCATAAGAGTCTGCAGAACAACCTGGCATCCCTGGGACTGCAGCACTGGCCTCTGCAATGGAACATAAAGGAATCTGGGAGGCATTTTGCATGCAGAGCCAAACTATGCAAGAAAAATAATGCAGTAGATACAGTAAATGAAAAGAAATTCTGAAGAAGGTACTGTGTAATTTGAATTAAACTGGGATATTCTAAATACAGGAAGTTTATCAAACTCGTTCTCTAGAGATTGACTTGAAATCTGAAATGCTTCTTTCAGCTAAAACATTGATGTATGCTTCTTTTACACAAACCCACACAGCTTCTCTATTTGTTTGGTTAGTATATTAGTCAGGATGAAGCCCATTTTTCTTTGCCACTTCCCAAAAGATATCCTCTGGCAGAGATTTAACGGATGTTTCATCCAATTAAGTGCTTAGGATGGAATGTGCCATTTTCAATTTTTTATTTTAGCTCTAAATTCCAGTGCAACTGAAAAAATATAAATAAAAATCATAAGGGCTTTACCTTTAAAGACGTTTCAAGACGACTGTAAACAGACTAACCTGATAGGATAAATTATTTTTATTTCCTTTTTAGATTTCTTTAATAAAGAATTTATAATGCAGAGCTGATAAATTACAGCATTTCTCTCCGAAAACAAACAGCCAACTGTCATGACTGATTCTTTGAAGTCCGCTGCACAGGTTTTAGTAACTAYTCACATAATATTAGCCATTTCAAAACTGAATTAGATATCCTAACTAACTCATTCACCAGGCTTTGAGTTATAGGTGGAAAAATAAACTTTAAGATCATGCATAAACACATTAAAGAAATACTTCTCCAATTAATATGCTCCCACCAATGTTTCCAATACTGTATGTCAGTTTTATTTGAAAAATAGACTCCAAACATCATTTGTCATAAGGTGCAACATATATGCTCTTTTCTATAGTTTAAAAAAACAACAAAGCAAAACAATATTCATACCAATAGTGTTAGTCCAACATGAAATCAGTGGGTCTTCTGTAATTTTTTAACATTCTTCTTTTCTGCTTCATCAATGAGTAAGTATTAATGGTTGATAAGACAGTCAAAGGGTCTGGCTAAAATCATCCATATTCTGTACTTTAATAATAGACTCTCTAGTGTAGATTGCTTCAAGTGCACGTCAGAAGCTGAATGTAACTGAACACAGTCCATGCAAAACAAAGGTACAATTCTGAGCTTGCATCATTCAATGACTTTTGTTTTCTCATTTGGTTTGACATCACCAGAGTTCAATAGCTTGAACACCAAGATTGAACTGTGGTTGTATAAACTGAGCACTCAGTACTAAAGTACTTAGGAAACTCTTAAATTAATCAGGCTGCGTAACTCTATCTTGAGTTCTACAGATTCAAATAAATACTTAAGGCTGAGATATATGCCTCTTGGAGTCTATTCAGTAAGTTCTGAGACACACTTGGGAATACAGATGGAAAACACTGACTGATAATGGGCTTGTTATGGGGAATTACATTAAATCATTTCATTAGAACTGCGTTTTTGAGAAAAGTGTGTTCTTAATTTATGCTAAGAGTGTTTTTCCTTCAGTCACTGAGGCTAAAAGAGCAATGGAGACAGTACTGCATGGATGAAGGTCAACACAAGAACTTGCAGCCAACTGCAGGCTCTGTATAAACTTCTAAGTTTTTTAATTAGCAAAGTCTGTCCAATTTCAAAGCTCTCCTTGTCATTCTAGCACCACCTCATCTTTATTGATGCTAAGCAGCTGGAAGTTAGCTACTCCTACACCATTTTTGGAGGGCTAGATTTCAATCCTTGCTCTAACATCTTTTAACAGACATGGAAACAAGGAGAGGCAGTCTAACCATTCATGTATACAGTTATGCATCCAAAGTTTTATCACTTTGACCCTTTAAATATTTAACCTTTCCACCTAAAGATGAACAGGTATTGCAGAAAAGAGCTGGGCTTTCATTTGCCTGCCCTCTGCTTGGGTGGCAGTCCTAGGCTCAAATGGCACCTTCAGTAAGTCTTGATTCTTTCTTTGGTGTTTCTTATAAATTACCATGATGGCTTTATGGATCCCGTTCTTAAGTTCCTAAGGCTTCTCCTGTGCAGCCCAATAAGCCTATGTGACAAGMTATCACCAGACTGACTGTTAGTGGTAGTGGCCTCTGGGTATTAACAGGAATAGCCACTCAAGTTTTTGCCTATGCACAGTCTTGGAGTAAGGTTAAGCTGATAATTCAACTCGCTACTCAAAAGAGTTTGTGTTCACTGTTATTTTTAATTTCAGCTAGCTCCCTCTGTCTTTATTTCTCAAGAACTGACATTTTTGGGGGCAGATATACCATCCTAGCTCCTGTTAACAAACATCATCCTCAGTACTGTGAGCACTCTACACAGCTCTGCCATGGACTAACTGTTAATGTGGTGTAGACTGAAAATTCCTTGGCTAACAGAGAAGGCTTTCCATCTCCTCTTTTTTCCCTGACATACACAAAGAAAGGAGTTTGGTCTCATATAGCAGCTAAACGAAAAATCTCAGCTTATTTTCCCTGGCTTATAATGGAAAGATTTAAAGTGCTCAAATGGGAAGCCCATTTGTTTCCTATGTAAATATAGAGGGAGATGGATTAAAAAAWTGTTAATTTTATATGCATGCATTAAAATTTGGAGTTATAAAAGTGGAAAAAATAGACCACAGTCCTTTCATTTTAAATTTTAGAATAAGATTGACCTTAGAATTAGACCTACTTATCTCAGTCCATATCCCTTTGGTTGAGTAGTTTTCAGTGGAAACTTGTAATTGTACTAAACTCCTTGTTGGTTTAGTTACGGGAATTAATTCATTCTTAAGATCATATCTCTGTTCAAATGCACAGATGCAATTTTTATATGTTGGTAGTTGGCTTAGCTTTCTTTTATGAGTTTGGTTGATAACTGCTTCACATAAAAGAAAAGCACACAAGAAACAATTGTATTGTGTGCCATTTCTTAGTTTCAGAAGAAAAGGACTGATCCTATAACTTAAAAAGTTTTAACAATATCCTTTTAATAATGCATTGTACTGCAGATGGTCAGTTAGCAGAAAATACTGCACATTTATGGGCTTTGGCCAGAGCTACATATATTTATGTTAGTCTCTTTAAATTGTGTTGTTAAATGGAGTATTTAACCGATTAAAATTATCCATTTACTTCTGTTTATTTACGTAAGCAATTTGGGCCATACATTGTGTGAATGCAGGGGGACATGGGCCACAGGGAAGCAGGATCACTTGAGAAAAGGAGAGGAACTGGAGGCATGTAGCAGTGGGCATTTAACTTAGGGTGTACCTGTCTTCTTGTCCCTATCCAGAGTCACGTTGGTCATGCACATTGCCTACAAATTGACTCAATAGCCTGGCTTTTGTAGCAAGCAGCAGGCTCTTTCAGTATGAAAGGACTCAAACCCTATCCCTGAAGATCTTCTGGATGCAATTGATTTGAATATAAGTTATCTGTATGAAGATGTGCAAAAGTACCAGAGGTCTTAGATGTCTAAATGAAGAAGGATCAGAAGCCCTTCCTGAAAGGGATTTTCAGGGCATCTAAGTTAGGATTCAAACTCTCCTCAGTAAAAGCCCAAATTCCCTCCAAGAAGAAACARAACATTAGGCAGTGTAAATTCTACTTCAGGCAGAATTTACGCCTTTTGTACTGATAACAGTATTGACTAAAGTAATAGTATATTAATACAGGCAATGTTGACTCAGTGAATCTCAAAGTAGCAAAGAAGGGATTAGGAAAAATCATCATTTTTGTCTCAGTGGTCCCTACTGTAGGTTTTTAAATCTCATGTTCTTGGAGCAAAAGGATAAATAATTAAAGTCTTGATATTGTTGTTTACATTCCTAATCCCTTTGCTCCTTTATTCAGACACAGTGTCGTGGGGAGGAATTCCATAGTCCTACAACTCACAGCAGCAGCAGCAGCATAGGAAGCAGATATGCTACAGAATAGCTATCTGTGGCTCTGCTAAATTAATTTAAATAATCTCTTGGCAGGTGCAGACAAATGCCAAGAAATGGTAATGAAGAAAAGAAACAAAATGGAGAATCAGCACTCAATGCAGAACTTTGTTAGCCTGTGAAAAATGTTTATGTTTCTTTACATGCAGGAAGACAGGTGCTAAGGACTGGATCTCTTGTGGYTCACACCAACGGGAGTTGGCCAGCAGTCTGTTTTGTGCCTGTGAAAACTCCTCTGTGGGCTTTTGTGCTCTTTCCTGTTGTGACAGCAGATCACTTAATATTAAACATTACATTACAGTACCTGTATGCAAAATTGCATAGAGAAATAATAAATCCTTACAAATAAGTCATTTTAACAGTAATAAAGGGAAAGTGACTGATAAAAATGCTAAACTGTATARAATTCAAAGGACTAAAACAGGAAATAGGGAACTAGATGCTTTAAAGAGAATTGAAGTATATTCTTGCTCCTTTAACTCCCATCCTGATTTACTTAACTTTTATAAAAATAAATGAAGGTGATGATTTCTTTTTCCTTTGTGAAAATATAATAATTCAGTATAGCTAGTAAATAGCCATGACCTCAGGAACAGAAACAACTGACATATTACTCATACACACTCTCTAGTCTGGAGCTTCGTATCTGTTAATAACCTGTACACAAACAGTGTCTGCCAGTCTTCACACCTGCCTCAGGAGTTACTATGAATGTCGATGTGTCCCACTGGTGCTCCTGGCTCTTTGCCTCTAAGCACCACATCACTTACACCCACAAATGCAACAATTGAGCTGTTAGGAAACTCATTAAGGAAACACAGCTTGATGTCTGCAGCTGCTCAGAGCTTCTAAACTGCCTACATCATGAAATAAGTGCCATCCTGCATCCACTCCCTCTGTCAGAGGTATATTGGGCCATTCCTCATCCACATTATATTTTCTCTTTAAACAAAATGAAACACCAAACATAGCCTTCGTGTTAATCTAGAAGGGATCCCTTTGAGGTTAATTTCCCTCTTCTTTCTTTATCAGGCTAGTTAAACATGATAGATTCAGGGTCCTGGTTTGCCATTTGAGCCATATGTCTTAATACATCCTTTTTAGTTATGATACCCAGCAGCCTCCTGGAGGAAAGAAAAAGAAAGGAAAGGTCAGCAATCATGCTATACATCATCCATTTTCACTTGTTCAGCTGCAGGGGTATTTTGTGAGTGCTTCCATGTAACACTGTCTACCCCATCCATTCCCCAGTGATTCTCTTTTATAAAACGCATTCTCACTTCATGTATTTTTACTACTGCAGATATGATCAGTAAGTGAAATACTTTCCGTTGTTATCTCCTTCTTTGGGGACATGCCTGAATAAGGAGCCACAATTAATAACACTTTGTATGAAATGACATTCCTTAGGCTCAGACTGCAGGGGATCTACAGCACAAAACTAAGGTAACATGATTTGACCTATGGCATGTGATTTAGTGGTACACGAACTTAAGCTAAAGCACAGATGTTCCAAAAAGCTCCCTATCCAACACTGAAAAACTTTGAGTGATAATTTCTCATTTAGGCTGATGAGAAAGTACAGTTTTAGGACTTCAATCCTAAATGGACTGTATCTGTTAAGAAAAATGTGTCCTATGAGAGCCAAAAATTTTCTAAACCTCATCCCTGAGGGCTTTTATTTCCAGTCCTTGAAAGCCAAGAGGTACTGAATTCTAGAACATCATTGTTATAGGCATCTCACCTTTCCTTTAATGGAAGTGTTACTATTCAAAATCAAAATTTCCAAACCCAAACACCTACAATCAGGACCTAAATTGCTATCTCAAGTAATGGCCCTAATTTTCCTTAAGTTGAGCACACAGCATTGCATTGATTGTAACAGCTGATATGGAGCACATCTGAATAACAAAAAGCCTTTTGCAGGAGTCTAGATTTTAGTCCTCAGAATTTAACAACAACGGCTCTGGTTTTTCAATCTTATCATAAAATATGTTCCTGTCACTAGATCATGGGGTAAATAATGCTCTCAAAATAGTTTACATCCCACTGGAGTTAAGGAACGTTTTTTTTTTTTCTAGTTCATATGGGACAGTTTGTTACTCGTCTAATTTCATTTGTCCCATTTCTTCTTGAGTTTTTTCTTATAGACCTTTCATTTATATGTCTTTCCACTTCCCCTAGGGAAAAAAAGAAAAAAGGAATAAAAGGAAAGAAATGCTGAGCAGGTCAGTTTCCTTCCACTGATATCTTTATCATACTTCTTCCTCTATTGAAAAATACAGAGTGCTTTAAAATATTTATTTGGTATTTGTCTTTATTTTTTTCTAAGTGCTAGTGCACTCTGGATACAGGAGAATGCCATGAAGCATGAATGGTGACAAGCGGAAAGGGCAGGCTGGGTTCTGACCCTCGTGTCTTCAGCTGTTCCGCAGCGACACAGGGCATGCATTCCTTAGTCCTTCTAGCCGCAAAACAGCTAAAATAAAAACATTCACTTGACTGTCTCAGCGGTGCTGATTAATCACTTACTGTTTATTCTTGGCTTTCAGCAGGAAAAGTGGTGGTTTTCTTTATGTTAAAAGAAATCTCCCGAGATTCTGTAAGCGTGCTCGACTCGTGCATCTACTTACCCACTGCGAGTGACCAGACACTGGCGCAGTCCCAGTTTCCGGAAAATATCCACCACGGTCTCCATTGGCGTGTGGTCAGTGACAGTGAAAGGGCTCAGGTTGAGAATACGCCGCAGCTTCAGTGGATGGGGACTATTGGGTGGCAGTTCTGGGGGATCTTCCGTGAAATACACGATGGAGTTGCTCACCACCCCGTCCTGCCGCTGCCGGGCATTCTCTGCACGACAAAAAGATCAATATAGACAGGGAATCAGGCTTGATAACAAAAAAAGAAAACATATATATTTATCTGCATCTTCCTTTGGAAAGTAAAGGCGGGAGCCTTTTGTTCAGGTATTGGGAGTGAGGGTTACAGAGCAAACCCCTGAATTTCTTGCAACATAGTTGGTTGTCAAAAAATGTATTCTGAAACAAATGTAAACAGTATTTTTACAAGCACAATCTTTTGCTTGGCTATGATAATATTTTCCTGAATAAATATGYTGTTCCTTGTGGACACTAGCATTAATAAACAAAACTTCATCAAATTCAAATGATTATATCAAATTCCCTTGTGAGGGAATCCCATTGTGAGAAACACAGCAGAAACTTGGTCCCAGTCAGTTCAGCGGAGTGTGTCTATTCCCAGACTTCCCAGCAGTGCTGGGAAAATCTGAGCAGGGTGAGTACATTTAGAAATATTATGCCAGTGAAAGACAAATTTACATCCCAGAAATACGAGGGCTGTGTTGGCACTCTTCTAGACTGTTACATCTCTCTGGGTTGGATTTTGTTGTTTTACACTTATTTCCTCAAATAAAGTTTGTTTATCTAGATTTTAACAGGTCAGAAAGACGTAAGCTTCTTACTTAAAGCGGAGTAGTAATGTCAAGAACAAAATCTAGCAGTGAGTGAGTTCATTACTTTTTTTTTTCAGCAGTGTATATCTGAYCACCTTCCAGACTTCAAAAGATGAATCTATGAAGTGACCTTTACGCTATGTCTGGAGTCTACACAATCAGTATAAGCTTTCCACTTTAAAGTAGGCTCCCACAGTAATTCTTAGAATTAAGTAGCTGTTCTTTGCAGTGTTTACCTCATTTCTACTCAAAAGGTTGCTAAATATATATGRGATGAAATTCCAAATGATAGACAACCTTTTGCTCCCTGTTATAAATGTATCTTGTGTTTGGCTCTGAAGATTTCATTCTTTCTTTCATTTTTTTTCCTACATTTTCTATAAATTCCCAGAAACGGCTACAACTAACATCTTTGATTAATATGGGTTGCCTCCCTTCTTGAGAGGTACAGAAAATCAGATGTACTCAAAGGATATGTATATATCCTTGGAGCTCATTTCCATCAATCAATGTGCAGAAACCTGCTTCTGTGGCTTGTAACTTGCAGACAGTAATGACTTCCAAAAATGTTACAGCTCTATTTTTTCCCCCTTAACGATCATTGTCTTGTAATATTTCTGGAACCACAGCCATACTAGTTCAAATCTAATATCACTGTGGTATATGATTTTTCAGCGTTCTCACCCCATGTATTATGAACCTATTGCAATTTATAGGAAAGATGCTAGCATTGTCTCATCTTGTTTTCATTCATACATCTAATTTTCAAGTGTGAACATGCCTTCATTGCTCTTTGATATATGATCTGTGGTAAGAGGCAGCATTAATCAAATTGAAGGTAGCTCCCCCACTTTGATAGAAACCCTTGACAGCTCGGTATTTCCTTCCTGAAGCTGTAACCAGAGCAATAGGCCCAAGCATTTAGTTACCACATTTCTGTTCCCAAGGCAGCAATGACCCTGGACAGCAGTGATTAGCCAAAGCCATGACTTCACTTCCCAAAGTCAAACATCTCTCTAGAGAAACGTGAATGATGTAGTACTATTGAGCAAGTTCAGTGGTATCGTAAAAATGGTCAAGTGCATATGCGAACTCATTAGATAGGGAGTTAGAGTGACGGTAAAACAGAGAAATGAGTGATTTTTGCAGTCAGTGGGTAAGGAAAATATACTTCTTAAGAGAAAGAGAAAAAGCAAATGGATGACGGTGTCTGGCTCTAAAGAGCTGGCTACGCAGATGGCCCTTCTCTTGGTGAGGGAGTGAATTAGCTCTCTCACATGTGAAATGTGCCTCTCGTATTCAAGAGTGCAGAGTTCACAGCCTACGTTAACCAAATTGCTCTTCTGCCTCTCTGCACTGAGAAAAGTGCATTACACATACCATGCAGATTCTGCCCAAGACTCTGCCTTTCATATGATGCCTCTGAAACTGGTCAAATTTAAGAGCTATAGGGGTCAAATTCTCCCCACTTTAAACATATAGAGTAAATGTCACTGAAAATGTAGACACTTCTTCTCAAAGGGTAATTCTGACCACCTAAATTCACCTTAATTGCCTATACACTCAAGAAAAACTATCAGAAGGAGACAATCCTCCTGAAAGTGCCTCTGACCAATTAAAATGGCATTTCCATTCATTTTACAAGGAGTGGAGGCATTTCCATGGTGTGCTCAGTTCCCTGAATAGTAAGAAGGAAACTACAGAGATGGCAATCACTAGGCAGAACATTCTGTGTGAACAGGTATTTGACACAGGACTGAACAGCTTCATGCCTTCATCCAAGGAGTCAGTTGCACAAGAGATTTAACCATCGTCCAGCACAACCAGAGGGCCACTGCCTGGTAACTACGGAATTTATTGGGCCAGAGAAAGATTCTGATTTGGCCATGACCGAGAAGGGACACCAGAAAAATGGTGTCCCAGTTTCTGCAATGATGCTGGACTCCTCCTATCCTAGCCACTGTTGGTCTGTTTCTGCAGAGGATGTAACTGATTGCAGTTCTTCGCATTGCCTCCTATGGGTCAAAGTAGACACACATATATATATATTTTATTTATTAAATAACAGCTTACCAGTTAGACACACTACTTAAAAATGGTATGACCTTTGGTACTAAGTCGTCACATAGAGATGTACATTGGTGTCACTGTCTGTGCCTGCCTAGTAAATCCCACATGGTGCCACAGTGGGTTATGTTACATTGCACATTTTGTTACCGAATTGAGCATCCATAGAGAATTATACCTGACACCCCAGGAAACTCCAATAGCATAGACTGCAACAGCATGAACTCACAGTCTGTTTTCTGCTCGCAGCCACCTACTTAATGTCAACAAATATTCAAGATCTCCAGCAAGAGAATTAATGATCTGGATCTAACAAACTTGCTGTTATGTTCCACAAGATCAGCTACCACACACGCGCCACTTCTCTTTTCCAAAGGCTGAGAGATCAATTCATTGAGATTGTCTCCACTAATCAGCACATACAGTACATCATCCAGAACTGAAGACACTAGCAAAAACTGAAAGACATGAGAAATTTCCCTCCTGAAGGGACAAAGAGGACAGAGCCACAGCTGAGGCTTCTTAGTTTTACCCATATTTCTGCATAGTGCTATGCAGCATCATGCAGAGGTGCCAAATTTAGTTACAAGCAAGTCATTRTCCTGCAAGGCAAAAAGCTGCAAAACAAAGAGACACTAGTTTTGAGCCCAGGAGTAGGACAGATGTGCCAGACCCACACATTAGCCAAGTTCRGTAACTCTGACTTTCAGAAGACTTCCTTCCCCAGATAGAGTGCCACAAAGTTTTAGCTATACCATTTCCAGGTATAACTCCAGCATCTTTGGACGCTGACAGACTGAGGAAGAGAGAAGAACCTTACCAGGAGAAATATGGGCCTCTTGGCAAACAAATTTATAGTTTAAGGAGACACAACTACAAAGCAAGCTGAGGTGAATATTCACAACACTGGTTATGTACTGCATATATGTAGTGGCTTCCTCTTCAGGAAATACAAATAACTTTGTTCCTCAGTAAAAGAGGATTAACTATCAGAAGAATGTTAGCATGGTACAAAATCAGCRATTGCTGTACCCTTTACTGGAACCATACACACATCTTTAAAGAAGTGAAACCAAATCCAGATTTTAAGTCACAAAGACACACGCCATACTCACCTAAAATTATGTAGTCCTAGAAAGATTAACCTTTTGTCACAGTTAGTTCAGAAGCTGTTAATGTTCAGCACAAAAGGAAGAGGGTCACCAAAGGTCTCTGACAACAGAGGATTTAGGAAAACTTATCTATGAAGAGAAGTTTTTGATTTTAAATCTCTGTTCTGCTTCAAATCCTATTAGAGACACTTTTAATTAGAGTTGAAATCTTCCTCTAGAAAATGCACATGTCAAAGCAACATTTTCCCAACATTTTGATCCAAACTGTTGGCTGAGTTTATATTTAATTAAATTCTTCGTTATCAATGCATAACTAGACTTTTTCAAACATCTCCTTGGAAGCCTATTCAACCTTGTTGCCACTTAAGAGCTTTCAAAAGACCCAGATCCTCAGACTTCTCTGACTCACTCCAGACAGTGTCTGATCTTTCTGCTTTTAAAGTAAGGGCCCCACATCTTCACTCCCTGCATTTTTTTCCACGGTTTTACTCTCTGCAATGTAAATTCAAAAGGCCATGAAGTTAGGATGGCAGCTAGTGTTACAGCCACAACATAGTGTGCRCAGAGTACAAAGTAGAAACAGGGCTGGCCAAATGCATCTAATTAAGACTYTTTTTTTGCATCTCACAAGGAAATATGGAAGACATTTGAAAATCATTAGCAAAAGCAGGATAAAACACAAGCTCTATTATTTTATAAGTGATATCAGCTCTTGATTTCTTTATCTTTGGTAAAACTTCAGTAACACATTTTTGGCCTAGCATGGCCCTATCAGACATCTGTTGTGATCRCCAAAGGAAGAATAGTCCTCAGATAAAAACAGATGCTTAAAAGAAGCACTGCAACTAGCACATTTGGACTTCATCTCGATGTCATTAAGATCCTCTGCTATTGAGATTGGTACACTGAGGATTATACCCTTATGGAGACTTTTTTTCCTCCCCTTCCTTCTGGAGGAGGGAGGAAGGAGGAACTACTGATAGCAAAAAAAAAGTGAGATCCCCACACTAAATGCAAAATTAATCGAGTTCATAAACTCTACTCATTGTAATTGAAATAATGAATTATGTATCACAGGGAAAAAAATGAGAAAAACATTTCTTACTGAAGAGAGAGCTGCACAGTCTATAAGGGGGAGAAAAYTGAAGTCTATCATATCTTTTCTTCTCTTGTATATAGTATTTCAGCAGTAATGACTTTCTGGTATGGGGTGAGAAGAGAAGAATCAAGTAACAGCTGCACACCTTTAAGTAAATGAGTATATTTTGGGGGTCTAATCTCCTGGACTGAATCTCTTTACATCCAGCAAACCAAAATAAATACCTCTTTAAAAACCACATGCTTTGAAGAGCGCTGTTCTTCCAAGTTTTATTCTAGTTTTACAAAAGGTCCTTGTGAGCAGGAAAGAGAACTTCTAAAATACCTCTCACTTTCTATTTATGGATTTTATTTCTTCAGCTTTCACCTTTCCTCAGGAGCTTCCTTGGCTCCATTCATCTGAACCAACAGCATTTTAAAGCAGCCTGCACCACAGGAACAAAACAGGCCCACACAGAGAGGTGCAATCCCACCTCAAGGAGATTTAGATATTGACGTTCCAGCCTGAGAAGTAGCTGAAAATCTACTTTTCCCTACAAYATAAGGCAGCCAGAGAAGCCGCAGCTTGCCTGCCTGGTTGACCTCTGAAACTGCAGGACTGCCTGAGCTGGGATCAGGCTGCAGGGCTGATTTGGCCACGCTGACAGTCAAGGCCTGGGTGATCTGTCTGTGGAGATGGTGGGAACACTTGCTCTCATGCTGTGCACTGGCCTTTACAATCCCCCCTCTAGCCATGCAGCCAACTGGTAAAGGATCTGATGGATACCAGTACTGGTCTGGATTGGACTCTCAAGTAACCAAACAGCTCTCTATCATCCCCGTGAAAAGACTGAGCCATTCTTACCAAACTCTCAGATCTAGTCACATCAAAATGCCTCAGAGGAAAGCTTTGCATCCCTAACGTGAATGGACAAAGGTGGCAGCATGGATTTGAACCTTGTCACAGGTGACAAGGGTTCACAACTGCCCCCACTTCCACAGGGAGCTCATGGAGACATCAGGAAGCTCAGCACTTCAGCAGTTTTTGATCAGATTCTGACAAGACTTCTGGCCAAATAAGCTGAGTTTCTCTCCAATCTTGAATGGAATTGTATTATCCTGTTGTGAGTGGCAACAAAATCAAGCCCACAATGTCTACCAGGTGGTATGCTGAAATGCAAATACTTTCAACTACGAGTCTTGGCAAAGAGTAYAAGCCAAACGTTTGGGAATAAGGCAGATTTAGCTCTTACTCATCCATTCTTCAAGGTGAATAACACCARTAACACTCTACTTCCCCTCTATCAAAATCAGTCTTACCGTACATTGATGATTCTCTACTCACTTATCGCAAGAATCAGCTCCCGTCTCTGTGCAAACCCAATGAGCCTCTCGGAGTCTTTAGAAACCACTACTGGGAAGCCGTTGTAGTCGGTCTCCTTGATCAACGTCTCGACGTCCTCCACGGTCATGCTGTCCTGTGTCAGAACGGAGAGAGGAGCCTCCCCTCGCCGTGGCCTCATGACATCCGTTGCCAGCGTCCGGTGCGTGAACTCGTCCTTCACGTCCAGGAACGGGTACCCATTCAGGTGAATGTGAGCCTCGTAGATCCCCTCCTTCCCAAAGGCRTCTGCCACCCACTTGCTTGTGACAGCGGCAGCCATCAGAGGCACGATGTACTCCAGGCCTCCGGTGAGCTCAAACATGATCACCACCAGCGAAACAGTCATGCGGGTAACACCACCTGCCAGCAAGGAGAGCAACCAAGGTCTTCTCAGTGCTGTTTCTCAAATGTCCACATTAAATGACTTATTTTGCAACTTGATTTTGTGTCTTGCATTCAAAAAGGCACAATATTATTCATGCCAGACATTGCACTTAAACTTTGTGAAGTATTTTTGTTGTTAGTGCCCTGGAGAGAGAGATTTCTATTTTTATCTGCTGCAATTTTCATCAGAAAAAAAAAAGGTCAAACAGACTTGCTTAAAACAAAGACGCTAACAACAAAGAGCAGATAATGAATGCTAAGAGACTGAGCTGTTAAAAGAGAAAAAAAATGCAAAAAAAAAAAAAACCAGCATGTATCCTGGATACATAAGAAACTAAAACTGGATTTTGTCATTAGCCCTCTAAAATGACTCAGAGAATAAGTGCCCGTGGGGGTATAGACTTGGGTTCCCTGACAGCTGATGTTCACATTGAGTTTGCTGTATCATTCCTACTGAATAAAAATCTAAACATGATTTCTGAGTATGCCACAATTACAAAATCCTGTGTAAAGACAGTTTAGGGTCACTGCAAGCCACATAACAGCTTRAACTTTAGTTTTTGATATCAGTATAACATACAGTTTGAACTGTATACAAATTTCTTTGAAGCCGTTTGGGATGTAGTCGTAGACAATATCCTAGCTCTACTTTTCAATCTAATCCTTTTGTATTCATTTTATAAGCAATCTACATACCCCTTCAGTTTACATTAAAGGATAAAAATAATCGCAGAACTACAGATAGTGTGCATATAACACTGAATTATTAGGTAACATTTCTTTGCCTCTGTTCAAAAGGTAAATGTAATAAATCTGCTATTTTTAGGCCTCAGAATACAACATCATTTTATATGAGAGAAATCAGCAAACAGGTCATTAAAAGATGCTTTTAATCTAACAGCACACAAGAAAATTAAAWCAGTAATTATTAAATATGATGATCCAGATACAGCTTTCATCTCAGGAATTCCTTAAACTGCTGACTCTGAAAAGCTGAGAGCAGATGCCAGAGTAGGGACTCTTCTGTGCTTGCTCTGCTTCCTACTATGTTTCCTTAATATCTGTTTGAGACAGAGTGCTGGAATAGACACATCTCAGGTTTAAGAACTACCAGTGACCATTCTGGTTTGCATTCCACTATACTGTTGCAGTTACTGCACATTAATTTGGGTATATAATGATTACCGACTAGCAGAAGAACTGAAATATCAGATCGAAATTTTTGTGTCTTGTTCCTTTTAGGAACATTAAAACCATTTATGGATAAGAGGGAGTGCAGTACTTTCTAACAGTAATGCATCATTATAATGCTATTACTGTACTGCTAGATGAAAACAGTCATGTTATTGTATGCAGTTGTACAGTTGCAAATGTTCACATCCAAAACAGGCTTCCAGATTGCCTTTATAACCTCTGGAGAAAAAGAGACCCAACTATTTCTAAGACCTAATTCCTATGCTCATTTGCCTGGGTTTAGGTATCTGCTGCCAGATGAGGCCGACCTTTTCAGTGTTTCATTTCTCTGCATTGACTATAAAAAGTATCGACACAACAAATGTTGATATTTACGTCACAGACATTAAGTTTAGTCAGACAAGTCATGTTCTCCTTGTACAACTGACTTCACCAATGATCCTACTTTTCCCACAAAAGTTTCTGAAATGGAAACTCCTCCAGCTCTGCTYTGTCTTTCATTTCAAGTCTATCCAATTATATTAATTATGTGTTGGACCTCTCCACTATTATTTCATCATCTAATGGTGGCATTGATGATAATATAAGAAAATGGAAAATACAAGCGTATATTTGGAAAGAAATGATAAGCCAAAAATATGTGCAAGTGGTATGGTTGCAACATTCCCACTACATCTATGACTAGAAATTTGGTGTGTGAAGTATTATTAAATCATCCCACTTTAAAAGTTAACGGGGCATGCCTGTTAAAGCCATTAACTACTGACTTGGTGAGATCAGATTTTGGCCAAAGTCAAAAAAAAAAAAAAAAAAATCCAGGTGACCAGAATGTGATGAACCAAGATAAGACCAAGAATTTTTATCTCTGGGTAGATCAGAATTTGACCATACCTCAGAAATGTGTGCCCTGTAAAGTTTAAACAAGAAAGTAGCTTTGGTCTAGCTATAGTGAACGTTGTCACAATTCACCAAAAAACACTCCTCCTTGAAAACTTGTAGACTGAGTATAATATCTTCCTTCTTTCTTTCTTTCTGTATTGCAGATTAGAAGGAGTAGACATGAGTTACTGCAAGTTTCTCTTTTGTTGGCTACCTAGAAGGGAACGCTGGGAACACCATTTGAGAAAGCAGCCTCTGCTTTTCCCCATCACATGTGTTACCACCAGAACTGCCAGCACAGCACCTAACACAGACTTGAAACTCTCCTAACTATTTTGTATTTTTCTGAAGGTCAGTGTTACTCATGCATGAGGCAAAGATTAGCAGATACTGTACCCAGGCAAGCTGCGGCTCCCACCATAGCATAAAGTCCCGGTGTGACACAGTCTGCCCCAGGTCTGCACCAGTTCCTGAAGATGATCCAGTCATGATGGTGATACGCCAGCTGCTCAACTCCGATGCCAACCATCCTGCCAGCCATGGCCCCAACAGCCATGCTGGGGATGAAAAGGCCAGAAGGGATCTTGAATAAAATATAGACATGTGATAGCCTTGGCAAAAATGACCAGTAATGAAATTATTGATCAAACAATTAATTAATTATGAATTAATTAAACCTTGTGGTAGAGAGGGAACGCAGCTTTCTTCTTATAAAATACTAGTGCAGAAGGGCACAGTTSTTTGCTAGCCTGCAGTGACCATTCCCCTGGTTTGAGATAGGCTTCTACAGTGAGTAAGGTTGTGGGGGTCTGCGTGTGTATTAATAGCCTACAAAATTTTGATACATTTTTAAAATGCATTTTGAATGCTAGCCTCTGCATTGCAGTAAATCTGACAGATAAATGGTATTCTGAATCATAGCCTGTGTTTCTTTCTTAATCAAGATACACTTGTTTTTTTCYTTACTGCTTCCTTTTCAGGAACTGCCTATGTTTGTCATGGGTTTGAGAATAAACTTAACTGGAAATAACATCCTGAAGTGGAGCTCTATCAAATAAAGTACTTTGCAGCATTGTTCCTAATCTTTCAAGCTAAATTAGACCAGGTTTTAAATTAAATGTCAAACAGGATAAGAATTTAGAGAAAGGAGGCTGCCTTTGCTCAGAGACAGCTATTTTTTCATCCTGGTTTGCTACAAAATTTTCAGGAAGCTCTATGAATCACTACCTTGTTGTCCGCTACACAGACAAGTCATGAGCCATTAGTAGCATCAAAATGGAAGAACAGGCCATTTCTGTCCTGTCTAAATGAATTTTCTCTTATATGGCAAGCACAGCTGTGGAGCTGAAGAGATATTTTTTGACAGAAAAATATATTTTTGTTCAGAATGTTGAAAGGACTTTGTATATATTAAGTTTTTGTTGCTTTTAGGGGAAAAGACGTTCTATATCTTTTTGAAGATGCACCTTGAGCTACCACCCTCAGCATGGTTGACAGGCATTAGTGCTAATAAGAGCAGGCTAATCTCCCGCACTCCACAATGTATAGTCAACAGTGCTGATAYGGTCCAGTTGGGCTTTCTAGATCTGTGGGTAAAATTATTTTGCCTATTCTTCTCAAGAACAGTTAAAATTGTCAGTTCTTCTGAGAATTTTTAAGTGTATGTGGCCACATACCAATTAAAAAGACTCAGAAGTTTCACGTAATAAACCAACATAAAAATGATTGGCTTTCAACCTGAGTAGAGATCATATTCTGCAGTGAAGAGCATATCAATCCAAATTCCCTTCCAGAAATGCTAACACATTCTTATGATCCTGTTCATCCTCCCTGATCAGGAAATGCACAGGATTCTTTCGTGTTCCTAAGCTCCCATCATTCAAGCAGCTCTTCATCAGGGATATCCCAAATGGAGAAGGAGAGGAGAGGAGAGGAGAGGAGAGGAGAGGAGAGGAGGGAAAAGGGAAGAGGAGAGAAAAACCCCAACACTTTCATACTCTTTTCCCAATAACAGGCCTTCTAGAGCCTCATTTGAAACTTATCTTTTAAGAAAAAAATATGCAGTTGTTTAGCTTTGAGTGTGGCATTATATATAGCATATAACTCAGAAAAAAAAATCACTTCATCTGCTACAGTCAGATCCAGAACAAATTGCTCGGATAATGGGAGCTGCAGACAAACAGATATGTGGTTTAAATGGGCCCCAGCAATCAGACATATAAAACTTGCCACAAACAGCTTTCTATATATTGAAAACTTGGATAAATTGTTCACGGACCTTTCAACACCCATTTATGAGGAGGAGGAAGAGTGGGAAGAGAAAGCTGCAAATCCACAATAATAAAATCACACATCCATCAGACCTCCCACTCATTCCCTTTTTCTTTCAAGCTATAGTGCTTAAAAAACTGGAAAAAAAAAGAATATTCAACTAAACTTTTTTTATAATTTCAGATGTCTATTTTTATATCCTCTTAAGGTTTCAAATGTGTAAATGAGCAAATTTAAAGCTAATACTTCCCAGAGTAGYGTGGCTACCCTGAGGCACATTAAGACATTAATCCAACAAGACAAACAACACTGTAAATACTGCATGTATCAGAGAGAGCTGACAGGCAGCTGCAGTGGGAATAATGTTGAATTTGCTTGTTGGCAATAGTGCATTTAAATTCTCAGACAGGTATCCTTTTCACTTAACAGAAGCGAAGGTAACTGGAAGGTGCAACAAGAGGGCCCTGATGTGGCTTGGGAATGCAGGGCAAGGTGGCGACAGGCAGGTGAACTACCAGGTGTCACAGCCAACACACACACGGCTGGGGTCTGAGACAGACCAACCCTGTCACACAGACACTGCATTCTAAGTGCCTGCGTGATCCCTGTGCCAATCTCTCATTTACCTTCATGCCAAAAGTAAATATGGTGATGACAATTTTGAACACCAAGGCCAAGGCGAGCTGCCACATCGCCGTGTAGACCCCAGGGCCGGCAGGTCTGTCAGGAATGTCATCCACGGGTCGGGTCATGTTTGGGTCRTTGATGTAGTCGCAGAGCTGCGAGGACTCAAGGGCGCCGCAGTCGTTGAAGAGCTCTGAGATCAACTCGCTGGTGCTCCTCCGCGTGTAGGGGTTAGGGTACGCGATGACGGCGGTGATGGCGGTGATCACGATAACCTCCAGGACRGGGTATTTCCCCAGCCTGGTGGTTTTTCGCCTTCTGCACCAGGCAATGTTGCAGCGGATGAAGAGAGTCCCCCAGAGACCCCCGAAGACGCCAAGCAGAATGAAAGGGAAAAGCTCGGCCATGTACCAGGGGGTATGGTACTCCACGTAGAAAAGGACCAGCCGGCTGTTTCCGAAAGGATTGATGGATCTCAGTGTGAAGGCAGCCACAAGAGCAGCAAAAAATGACCTCCAGAGGGTTTTCAGAGGAAAGTAATAACTGACCTAAAACCAAGGAGAAACAGTAAACATTTTGCTGAGTGTGATGGAGCGTGTTGTCTTTAATTATTCACTTGAGCATTCGGCATGGTAGGCCATCACATGTGCGTACACATGTGTGTTTCATCTGGGAGGCTATGTAGGACTTCACTACAAGTATCTGGAACACTGCTGGTAGCCATGGTCAGAATGTGTTCAGAAATACATCAAAAAGGCATTTTCAGATTTCAGAGAGGGAGCTGCAACCAATTAAAAATAGATGACTCTCAAAATCAAAGTTGCTGGATAGGAAAGATGAGATGGGTATGGAAAAACTTGGAATATATGGTAGCAAGCTGAAAGCTGTAGAAAACTCAGCACTGTTTCCAGATTGGATTATTTCAATCATTTCCAAGAAAGCAGAGCTCTTCTTTTCCCCAAGTTATGCTAAAATACATGACTATTTTCAGAAAAGAAAAGGCACTTGTATTTTAAAAGAAAATAATCATGAAAATATTTGAAAAATAAAGAAGAATCATAGAAAAAGGAATCAATTGAAAATACTTGCATTGAAAGAAGTGAACTGACAGGTCTTACCTCTTCCAGACTAAAAAGTACACCTCCAATGGGAGCGCCAAAGGCAACAGAAACTCCTGCAGCTGCTGCAGCTGAAAGCACCTACAAAGCAAGTATTTATGTTCAACAYGTGAATCTTTTGAAAAACTATATTTGCAAGGGGGTAATGAAAGGTGATCTAAACCCWGCCTCACCTCTCTTCTCTTTCCTTCATTCTTGCTGTACTTTGAGAAGAGGCTGCTGAAGAAGTTCCCGCAGCAACAGGCCACATGGACTAATGGCCCTTCTTTCCCGAGGCTGAGGCCTGAGGATACCACCAGAACCAAGGTGACTGTTTTGATTAAAAGTGTCCACTTTCCCAGGTAGCCCCTAATAATGAAACCACTCAGGATGGTTTTTATCTGGAAAGCAGGAAGAACATGTTCAAGAATTAAAAAAAAAACAAACTTTTTTACTGTGAATTTGCTTGAAAAGATACAGTGATGGACAGAACCTTGGGTAGGGTAATCTTCCCTTTGCACAGCAATATCTGAGCAGGGCTTAAGCAAACCACATTTTTACAGTTATTATGGGTGGTCCCCTACATCAGGAAGGAGTCTTACAGAGATCAATGGATATATGAAACTCCTACATATCTTCATGGCTTGCAGGATCAGAGCTAAACTAGGCTGAACAAAGCTAGACAAAGCAGAAAAAAAAGCTAATAAACAATCACAGACTTCTCCCTCTTAAATCAAGAAAAAGAGTTCTAAATATTTGGAATGGCAGCGCCACAAAAAAACATGCAAGTATGAAATGTGAAGCTCCAAGAAAGAGATCTTATTTTTACACATTTCCCTTTAATTTTTAAGAGAGTATCTGAACACAATGCATGAAAATTAAACACAGGCTGCAGGGGGGATGTAGCCTTGGAGCCCGGCCCTGGAAGCACGCTGGTATTGGCGGCGATCTTCACTTGCAATATATCACCTGAAAACAACGTTCTGGGGAGTGGAGGGAAGGCTCATGACTACTTTAGCAGTAAAAAGCTGAACTGAAGTTGTATTGTCTGAGATGGCCAAGCTTATGCTTTATTGGCTATGGTAAAAAGAGAATTGATTGAGAGTTCAAGTAAAATTTTAGTGGTTTCATTTTAACTGCCAGTACTACTAAAAACATTTCTTGCAAATACATACAAGTATAATGTAAAATTGATACTGAATAGGATAAAAAAAAAAAAAAACTTGTTTTCTAAAACTAGATTTACAGTTAATTATAAAAAATTACAAAAAATGCTGTCTTTGTTAGAAGGTTTCTCATTTTAACAGCTTAAATATCTTCTGAAGCTCAGTATTTAAAATATTAAAATTTAACTAGAGGTTTTGGCTGCCATAATGCTGCTGTGACAGTGTGACATTGTGGCCAGGAACACAATGTTCAGAAGAACAGCCAGGCACTTTTCAGGCATCAGAAATGACAGGCATCTCACATCTTCTTTCAGTAATCTTAGCTTTCCCTCCATCTCTGTTTACTTTTGTTTCTGTTTTTTCTTTAAATAGCAGCTTAAAATATCTGTCATTTATTACTAGGTCAAGTAGTTTAATCCAAGAAAACTTCTGCATAATCTTCTAATGAGTAGGTATTAGTAGGCAGTATGGCATTTGAAAATATTCTATTATGAGCAATTTAAATGGGTTCCATGAAGAAAGATTAGACAAAGGAATGAAATAGATGTGTCAGAAAGACAGTGTTCAGACAACTATTCTTATTTTATAGTACACTCCTGGAACGAGAAAAGGCCACAAATAATGGTTTTGGGTTTTTTGTTTTTTGTTTTTTTTTTTCCGTGTGTTTTGGATATTCATCCATGGAAAGAAACTCACCTCTGGGATTCCAGAGCCACAAGCGTAGGGAGCAAACACTCTGACCAGAGAGACTGCCAGGAAAGCAAAACATAGAGCCCACATAATGTATAGAAAATAGTTTAGAATGTAAGCACTTGCACCCTAGAAAAATAACAGTAACAAACATGGTTAGACAAATGCAGATGAGTGAATCTCATGCTTCTGCTCGGGATCATGGTAGCATGGAGCCAAGTCTTTTCATTTACATCCTAGCTGAGGGTTTTGCTCAGGAAGGACACACTGTTTTATACCCTCCAACAATTTTCTATTTCTCTAACAATTTTTTACAAGTTCTGCAGCATCAAATAAATCTGATATATAAGGGTAAATGCAATTGACAATAAAAAAGCATCCAAGGAACCTCTTGTGTCCACCCCATGGCAGGTTTCTCCGAGTTGCTGGCTGTCACCCAGTTATAATGACCAAAAAGTGACAAGGGATGAGACCCTGAAGCCTTTTTTCCTCTGAGGGCTGGTGTCCAAAGTTGAGCCCTCCATGCTAGCAGCAGTCCTTCCACACTATATCCCGGTAAATATTGGTCACCAGTTCAGTTCWCAGAGTGGAAGGGTAAAAGCATAAATACATCTTTCCTTCTAAATGACACTATCTGTGACAGATTTGAAAATCATTTGAAAACACAATAACTTGACAGATCCCACTCAGACACATCTCTGTCAGTTTTGCCCTGGTATTATAAAAGCATTCCAGTCTATAAAACCTACCTTCAAGCTAAATAGCTTTACTGACAAAATGGAAATAATAATGATCATTAGCCACCCTTGACTGCGCAGTGCTGTAGTGAAAATGTGGTCTAGAGTGACCTTGAAGCACTCTGTCTGTCTCAATAGTGAAGTCAAAATTATAGTTAAAATCTGCATTACAATATCTTCTTCCTTCACAGGAAGAATTTTTGAGATGACTTTCAACAAAACAGCCAGAGGTATCAATTTAGTACTAGAAGCTGAAGGTGTCAGTATTCTCCTCCAGCAACATGACACTAGAGAATAAAAAAGATGAACCTCAGTGGATGAACTGGTATGAATCCTTCACCCCTAAGTGAACTCTTCCTACAGGATGCAAACCCAGCTGCTCAAGAACATCAGGGCCCTTGTCTTTGCTCTGCAGGACAGAAGCCTGGATATAGACATTAAGATAAATCAAGCAGGAAAACAGGCATTAATCAGTTGTATCATGTTTTGAGTTAACAGAGATGGCCAGACTAGTTCCTAGTCAGCAAAAACCTGGAGCTGAAAAGTCTTCCTGTTCACAGTCCTGCAAAAGTCAGCTTTTAACAGCATGGATGCTTGCTAGCATCATCTTTCAGGTCTCTGTCCAAAGGGAGAGAATGATAGAGGACCACTGCCCTTATCCTGACAGACGGATTGGGAAGAAGGGCAATTCCTTAAGTTCCTGTTGTGCTTGCTGTTGTTATCAGCCAGCTCTGCTGATAACAGCTAGAAGAGCAATACATCATCCAAAATACCATGAAACTAAGAAATCATGGATTCTACACTCGGTGATTGACATCCATCTGTAGTAATCGTGGGTCTTTGTTGCTACAGCTGAAGGCTGTCTGTCTCATTTCCTTGTGAATGTCTTCTGCTAGTGTTTTCAATTAAAAACAGCTTTAGCAATATTCACCCTTCCTCTAGAGAAAACTTTGGATATGATGCTCCAGGGCAAAATTCTCTTGTCAGTGTGAACCTGGATTAGCTCCAAAGACCAATGCCCTTACAACTATTTCATCCTAAACTGTTGAGCTAAAGCTGCAGTTTGGATTCCATATTCACTTGAGTCAAATTAACATTGTTTTTTTTTAATTTCCTACTCTTTTACATCTCAGAAGTCACATGAACACCGTGTCAGCTCATTACTGTAATCACACATACACCTACTGCACTGCAGCCAGATCTCACAAGGGTCTTTGTGGCCATTTCAGCCTTACTCCTTGAGACAATTCTAACTGTTACATTTTCCAGATGTCTGTCATTCTGCAGGTCCAATCCAAGCATTTTTAGTGATTAATAATAATAAAGCCTTTGGGAAGAGAAATAGTAGTAACTCAGTAGAGCAAATGGCTAATTCCTCATTCATTGCATGCCATTCCTAAGTTCTGACTCAGTAAAAGTCTTAAGCATGTACACTGAATCAGAGACTGAAAAAAATCATAGGCAGAGATGACCCTGCTAAGACCCTTTCTACTAGCAGCTCAAAGGCACTGACCATGGCAACAGCAGCGATGAAACAAACAACTGAGGAAAATCTAGACTTTTACTCTGTAAGAACCAGCAATATTTCAAATCTGGTTTCAGTCTAATGCAGAATGAAGGGGGCACAATTCAAAACAACCCTCACAAACACAGCGAACCGAAACAAAATACATCCCTCAGGACGCCATCCATCCTRTGCTGACACTCCTTATTTTACAAAGCTTGAGAGCTCACTCTGAGCAGACTAGGGATCTCACAGCTTGCAGACTCCCTCCTGTGGACTCTCCTGCAATGTGTSTCCTCAAGGTTCTCAAATCTGCCAGATTCAAGGCTGGTAAAAGTGGAAAGTAGTCTCCAGGTGTACAAGGACTCGTATGTCTTTCATTTTTCAGCACAGTGACAGAAAATCAAGCAGCACTAGCATGGGAATCCTGCCCATCACTGGATCCGGTGTCAKAAGCCATGAAGAACACATGGTCCTCTTCCTGCCTACATAGACATGAAGCACTGAAGTCAGGTCCTTASCTCTGGAGCAGCCAAGGTTTGGACCAAGCTATACCTAGAAAATAAGGAAGATCTGAGTTACCAGGTACTGGCTAGACATTCTGCTTGTGATGTAGCTGAAGTGGGTGGCACCTGAAGCACTTTTATGCACCCACTGCTGCCCAGTGGATTTGCACCCTAGAAACTCTCCTCCTGCTCTTTGGAAGTGATTAAGGGCAAGAGGGATGAACAATATTATCGGCCTGTAAAACAGTGATTTRGGAAGAAAACATAGCCTGGTATGTTTCTGATGTGCTATTGTCTTTTCCATAATAATTCACATCAAAATGTCGCTTTGGGCTCATTTTAGAGCTAGAATGAAATCACTTTTAAGAGGCGCCCTAGGAAATGTCACAGTTCTTGGTGGGAACATATGTACAGGGCTTATCACAGTCAAAAATGGCCAGAACCACAATGAAGAACCAGTCTAAATCTTAGTCCCCAAAATGTCAACTTCATTTGGCTAGAAGTCACAGTCATGCATAAAAAGAAGTCAAATCAGACCAGAGCTTTAGGGAAATTACTCCAAGGACTTTGTATAAAATGTGCTCTAAATTAGTCCTTCTGTGCACTGCTGTTTTATAGGTCTATTACTCAAATGTCTAGTGCAAAATGAAGCAAGTAACAAAGAAAATGAAAATCATCCAGAAATTGAACTAAACAGAATGTATTTTAATCATTCCTAAAGGATTGTGTACAAATAGAGAAATCATGCAAAGCTTGCTTGTGTTGTCTCTCTTTTGCTACAGAGCAGAATTCTTACTTTTCATATTCATATTTTTGGTGGGGTATTACTCTTTGTGATTTCCATGTAACAGTTATATGTAGACATCATTAGCSATCATATTAATATTACAGTATAATTCTGGTTATGTTAGTCAGAAACATACAGCTTTTAGAAGCCCATATGTTTTGAGCAACTAAAACTAACCCCACGTAAGCTGATTATAGAATCATAGAATGCTCAAGGTTGGAAGGGACCTCAGAGRTCATCGAGTCCAACCCCCCTGCTCACGCAGGRTCACCTAGAGCACGTGGTACAGGGCTGYGTTCAAGCGGGTTTTAAAGATCTCCAAAGAAGGAGACTCCACAACCTCTCTGGGCAGCCTGTTCCAGGGCTCTGGCACCCTCACTGTCAAGAAGTGTTTCCTTAAGTTCCTGTGGAACTTTTGGTGCCTGAGCTTGTGGCCGTTTCCTCTAGTCCTATCGCTGGCCACCACTGAAAAGAGGCCGGCCCCCTCCTCCTCACTGCCTCCCTTGAGGTATTTATACACACTGATCAGGTCCCCCCTCAGCCTTCTCTTCTCCAGGCTGAACAGGCCCAGCTCCCTCAGCCTTTGCTCATAGGGCAGATGTTCCAGGCCYYTGATCATCCTSRTAGCCCTGCGCTGGACTCTCTCCAGCAGCTCCACATCCCTCTTGTCCTGGGGAGCCCAGAACTGGACACAGGACTCCAGACGTGGCCTTACCAGGGCTGTGTAGAGGGGGATGATCACTTCCCTCGACCTGCTGGAGACGCTCTTCTTAATGCACCCCAGGATCCCGTTGGCCTTCTTGGCCACCAGGGCACACTGCTGTCTCATGGTCAACTTGTCATCCACCATGACGCCGAGGTCCCTCTCTGCGGGGYTGCTMTCCAGCAGGTCCACCCCTAATSTGKACTGGTGTCCGGGGTTATTCCTCCCCAAGTGCAGGACCCTGCACTTGCCCTTGTTGAACCTCATGAGGTCTCTCACTGCCCAGTYGTCCAGTCTGTCCAAGTCCCTCTGGATGGCAGCGCAGCCCTCAGGGCTATCAGCTACTCTTCCCAGTTTGGTATCAGCAGCAAACTTGCTGAGGGAGCACTCCATCCCTTCATCCAGGTCGTTAATGAATAAGTTGAACAGGACTGGACTGAGGACCAACCCCTGGGGGACACCGCTAACTACAGGTCTCCAACTGGACTCCGCGCCACTGACTACCACTCCCTGCACCCTGCCACTGAGCCAATTCCTAATCCACCTCCCCGTCCACTCATCTATCCCACACCTTCGGAGCTTGCCCAGGAGGATGCTGTGAGGGACGGTGTCAAAAGCCTTGCTGATCTAAACTAACTTTTTTCCCCTCTTCTCATTGTGACAATAGACTAGGGGGTCAGAAGCCCAGCTTGAACAGAGAGGGAGCAAAGTTTCATGGTGTCCACCTAGATGCTACCTTTTTTGCAGCCCACTGCACAGGACAGTGATGCCTTCTGAGTTCATGTAGCAGGTGAAAGCAACATGTATTCTCAAGGACAAACTCCATTTAAACACTCCAGCACTTCAGGGTAACAGCATGTCAAACACATGCCGGGATTTCCAAATCCTGTAACCATTGTAACAKGCCTTCTTTCCTCCCTTCCCATATTTTTTGTTCCTTTAAAGTACAACGTCATCCCTTGAAACTTCATACCAGGGCAATATTTCTCCAATGTTACAGAGAAACAACCATCTGATTATGAAGACCAACAAAAACCTAGCTAACCTATGGCAAAGGGAAATTCAGCACTAAGAACTGTACAGAAGAGATGGGGAGAATATTTAGGAAGAGCGAGCATCCTTGACTTTCTACACTGTTAATTGGAACTAGGGAAAACTGGAAAAAAATACACATTCACAGATACTTTCATCTAGTGTTACTTGCACTGCAAGCCTAAAACAGCACTAAATTCAGCACAAACAAACAGCTCTTGCACTGCAATGAAGCTGCCTGCACAGACTTTTGGCAGGATCACCTCCACCCTGGGGAACATCTGAGGCCATCTCCGAGTCACTCATTTTTGAATTCTCATTTATCACCCGTTGAGAAATGCTTTTTACCATTATAATATACCTTTTCTTCCCCAACTATGGACTACACTACATTACTAGACATTGAAAAGAGAATCCCTTTATACACTTCAGGATTAAATGAGCCAGTTCTCTTCAGTGACACATCTTTCCATCCATATTCAGTTTTATCTTGTCCGGGTAACCTATAGAATATGGAATACCTTTTCAAYAAAATATTTATTTTCCACGGATAGAGTTTGGAAGTGCTTAATACTATTCAATACATTGAATAGCTAAGGTCAAAAAATAAGTGCATTGTCATGYCTTTAATAAAAGAATCATCTGTTAAAAATATAGGTTCTCTTTGATGTCTTCAAAACAAAACATGCAGTTTTGCTTTGAAGCACCACTGTTTTTATTAAAAAATACTGTGATTGAAAAAAAGGATAGACACAAGTTTTTAAATTATAAATTTTGTATCATGCCAGATCAGTTCTTTCCTCTTCGTTCCTACTCTCACCTAGCACCTTTTTCAATTTGCCCATCTCCTAGTGAGCCCTTTATTTCCTCAGTTTTTGGTGCTAGCCAGATGTTTGCTATCTGATAAACAAACCCATTCAAGGGCAAAATAAGTAGTTTATATGCAGTTCCCACCATTACTCACAACACTTGAAATATAAGGATATACATAAAAAAAAAATCTTGAACAATGAGAATTACYTTCTAAATATATTTGTCAGGGGCAGTCTTTTTCATTTCCTAGAAAACTGTTTAAAATAAAAGTCTGGGTAGGAGCTAAGGTCCTCCAGTGGTTGTGGTATGAGTGTGATGAAACACCCGTTTGTTTTTAAAACCGATTTAAAAAGAAAAAAAAAGCAGGAGAGATCTCACATAGTTTTCTAGTTTCCATCACATGTGACACTGAACAACAATGGGACCTATCCCAGGATAAGAAGATGTTGCCTATGGATTTTTTTTTTTAATTTATCATACTCTCAGGTTGTTTCTTTCTKCTTCAGAGCAACTCCTAAGTGGGAATATCAGAACCTACAAAAAAGGGCATTCCCCRGCCTGCCGAGACCCCAGACTAATCAGGCCTCCCATACCTCAGACTGGTTTACAAGAAGCTCAGACCATTTCTGCCACTGGGGACACTTGTCCCTGTCATCGAACGTAGTTTCGTTAGATGTCCAGCAGCACTGCTCGTGGCTGTACCAGAAGGCAGACAAGCAGACACCCTCCTTCAGGTCTGTCATCCAGTCCACAGCTAAATCTATCACTCCGGCCAACGTGCCTGGAAAAAGAAATGCATGAAAAGACACCAACACATAAAAAAAAATATCAGGAATTTCCAAACCATGGGGAAAATACCTATCTAACTATAATAAAAGCAAAAATACTTGATCTGGGGAACTAGCTGCAAGGCAGGCAGRGCCTGATCCTGCCGTCCATTCCAGTCTCATGCACCTGATGTCATTGGGACTTTACTCGTGGTCTCTGTCTACACACCAGGCTGCAGGGCTGAAGCCACATAGTGTTTAAGGAGTGGGGAAGGAGAACACACATCCTCTCTACAGATRTACTAGCCCCTGCGCAGTGACCTAGAAAAAGAGTGGTTTCAGAAAAATTAAGGCCAACTGCTGACCAACGGAACCAGACCAACGTGACATTTATTAGCAATCTGAACACGCAGAATAAAACCACTGCTCCAACCCTTTCTTTGCAAGATTTGCACTTGGTCTCACAGCAGTTTTTCCCTAGGAACTACACAGGGCAACACTGACATCCAGCGGCTGGCTGACGGAACGGGACAGCGTACATGCCCTGCTGCGAGTCCCCAGGGAGCATCCCGCTTCTGTGGGAGGTTTGCTAATCAAAGGCACACAAACAAACCAGCAGAAATAACCTCCCACGGCCCCAGTCCTGTAAAACAGCTGCGTCCCCCCAACTGCAACAGCAGCTTCAATGCGGAGGGTGGAAGGAGCTGGAACACAGAAACAACAGTTTTGCACGACATACTTCCTTACTTGATCTCGAATCCCTCCCTATGTGCTTAGTTACTGGGAGGCATCAAACCACCAAGGGATAAAAAGGCATGTTTAATATTTTTAATCCTCCTGTCACATAAAATGGAAAGTCTGAAATGGTTTCATAGATAGAAGTCGGCGGTATTTTTATGATTAACCATTTATCCAAAAAGCAATGCAATTTCAGGAAACCATTCACAGACTTGAAACAGAATTCGCCAGTTTATTTCATTAGCACAAAAACAGTGAAAAGACTTGGGGAAAGACAGAYTGGCTTGTGTTTACATTTCAAAAACCTTTAATTTTGCACCTCCTGCCACAACGCCAATGAAAGACAGGCTGGGGGTGGAGGTTGCTCCCTTTACCCCTAGCTGCTGGTGTACACAAGTGGATCCACGAGCCAGTTTGTCATGAGACAAATGTTTTCTGAAAGAAGGAAATAAATATTTCAGGTAATTCAGGCATGTGAGACCCTTCCACTTCCCCACAGGAAAAAAGAATTCAGATGTTCACAGAGTTTTATATAATGCTACGTCTTGTCCTGCCTGTAAGAAGGGCACCACACTGTCTGTCTGTCACCACACTGTGATATGCGGTAGGACTGTGGAAGCAATGAAGAATTTTGTGTTTGTGCTCAGGAACAGCCTGAAGAACTGTATGGATACATCAGATAAGAAAGAGAAAAGGCTTTGATAACTGCACCAAGGATTTTCTCTCATAAAGATCATGGTTTTCTCTTGTTTACCCTTTCCAATTTCACAAATTTCAGTGGAACCCAAGAATCATACCCCTAGGTGATGATAAAGCACTGCTGCTAGTAATATCATCATGTGTAGGCTGTTGAGTTTTGCAATGAACTCTGAATCTCCTTCTCCTTAGATTTTCTGAAAGTTTCTGGAAATAGCAGAAACAGCAGCCTCAGCTGCAAGCAGGAGATGGTGTCTCTTCCACTTATTGATGGACATTTATCATTCTGTCTAGCCACCCCAAGCTTCAAAATTCACTTCACACTTAATCAGGCTCTTAATGCACAGGCTGACATATACTACAGCAGCCTCGTAGAAAATGTGTTCAAGTATGTGACTGTTCTAATCCCTTCTGTCAAAATCTTTGGGGATCTACATAAAGAGGAAAGTTGCTACAAGCAGTTTACATGCTTTACAGAAAAGAAAATCACGAGAGGAGGAGGCCAGGACTTGCATGGCAATGGTGCAATAGCTATTGTTTCATAACCCAAGAGAACTTTTTACAAGTTCTGACAAACTTTTACAAGTTCTAGGCTAACAACTTCAAGACAAATTAATGGAAGTTGTAGGCTGCTCCATGTCTCAGACAGTCAAGCCTTTATTGTTTTTGTGCTAACCATTGCTGCCTAGGCATGCCACTGCACCTCTGCAACACAGCAGATTGCCTTCATACTTCATCGTTTTAAAAGTTCAGAACTGAGAGTTCAGAAGAGCTGAACTTTTTTCCTCACAAAATAGAAAACAATGAAGCAATTCAAAGCCAGGAAATAATGAAGTCTGTTTTTGAATAATAGTCTTTTCCCTCCCTCTTTTTTTCTTTGGTTGATGATTGCCAAACACTTACCCTTCAAAACCCTCTAACAAGAATGCTAAAAATTTGCTTTGAAAACATGTTTTTTCATATGCACCTGTGATTATAGAAAACTGCTTCACTCAAGTGGCATGGGAATGAAATACACGGGGGGATTTTTGCATGTAAAATTCCAGTACATTGTATTGCATTAGATAGCATTGTTTGCACAGAGCTTTGGGAAACAAAGACTCTTTTGCTACCTTCTACAAACAGCATATATCTTTAGATATTTAGCTTAAGGGGTAACCATTTTACTGCAAGCAGGAGACTGAGCAAATTAAACCACAGAACTCCTTAAAAASAAGTGCCTAAGCACTGAGCTTATTGGCACTTGCACCCCAAGACTTTTTAGGCTAGTTTCTTTATTTGTCATTGCTCAAGATTTCTTCAAAAAGCATGAAAAACACCTGACTGACACAGAGCCCAGATAGCACTCATTCCCTTTATCTTCTGGGACATCTCCTGAGCAGTTCACCCCTAATCTCCGCACCAGACAGTGCTCCTGGATGTTACTGCTCCTTCCTTGCTTCCAACCACAGCAGGATCTGGCTCCCAAGGCCTCATTTCAAGAAGCTTCTCAGTGCTTTGCTGACCATGTGATGGTGCCACATGCCACCTACATGGCACGTTCAAGGCCCATAGGTACATGGCTGAGGAAGGGCCTGCTGAGTGCTTGGAGCTCGCTGGGCTGGAGAGCTGCGGTGGGTGKTGAGTTAGGTGCTCTGCTGATTTACTTGCACACACTCTGGTTTCTTTGCACAAGGTTATACAAAACTTTGAATCAAAACAGCTGCTGTTATGTTCTCAAAATATATAGCTGTTACTCAAAACATCTATCTTCAAATCTTCTCAAAAGTTCTGTCTTCAAAGCTGTACCTGCTGTAAGCTGGAGGCTGAACTCTCCCAAGGTTCCCTTCTTACCTGTGCTTTTCAGGMACTTAAATGAAGGAAGCCACTTCCATGACACTTTAAAAATGACATTAGTGATGGCTACTGCCAAATGGATGGTCCTATCCTACCCTCTCTGTCAAAGCCCTCCCCTCAGCAGTGTTTTCCTAGCACCAGCACTTGTACAGACCTGTAATGAATCACCCCAAAGACCCTTTTGATCCAGTTGAACACACTTCTGTCCAAAASCCATGTTTTTCACCAGATGAGTGAATCCAACCTTCTGAGCCTGGCCATACAACCAGTTTTCAATCCACCACAAAATAGCATATTTCATCAAATATGCCAGAATTTCATCTCGCAGATCCAAGCTCCTGTTCCAAGCCCCTAGATACATCCACAAAGCAGTGGGGCCTCATGGCTGGGGAACTGGGGGACTTTTGGTCATGTCAGTTCAACACAAGTGCAGAAGTGCTGCAAAACGTGAAAGATATAGTTGGCTGAATTGGTATGGTGAAGACTTCTAGATCACTTATTATATTACTGGATCTAAGTAACTTTTTCAGGAGCCCTTRGAAACCTGTACATGTACCTGTTTTCCTCCAGTCTCCTTCCTCCTTAGAAGTCCCACCTGTGCCTTCACCTCCAGCAAGAGGACAACAGCAGCTGCATCATCCAGGGCATTAACTAAGGCTTTGCACAGAACCAGCCCCGATATCTACCTCAGTGGACACCAGTAGTGGCTGGTCTCCAGTTGCACTTCGTGCAGCTGATCACAACCTTCTGAGCCTGGCCATACAGCCAGTTTTCAGTCCACCACAAAATAACATATTTCATCAAATATACCAGAATTTCACCTCAGTGATGACAATTTCATCTCAAACTTTTTAAAAGAGCTGTAATAAATAAACTTGCCCATTGATAAGCAAGAAATTCACACTGGAGCTGAGTTGAAATTGTATGAAACTGTATCGTGCTGTTACCAAGCAGCTTGATAGTAAGAGCCCTGTTAAGATTTAAAATAAAAAAAAAAAAATCATTAACAGCAGTGTTTCAACTCAGAAATAGAAGTATAGTTTTCCAAGCTGGAAGATGTGCTAAGTGGAAGACAGGAGAATTTCAGGAAATTAATGAATTTGCCATCTGAGTTTGAGCATGTTGTTAAATATGTGTAATGTCTGTCTGGCTTGAAAGCAGATTTGGAACTAAGTATGAAACTGTATTTTCCCTTCCTGCATGTATAGAGAAGATAACCCAGTGAATCTAGCAGGATACAAAGCTTCCCTTTGATGATACACAACCACTGTTCTCTTTCTCCACATCATAATATGCACTCACAGAAATAAATTAATTGAAGGCAAGTTAAAAACCCTAACAAATAAAACTGACTGGTGTGACTCAAAGATAGTTAAACAGGCCATCACAAGTAAAGCACTCAGAAACATATTTCCAAAAGCAACAGAAAATCCCTTTATTTGTTAGTAACATTTTTTCTAGGTCAACACTCGGCAGGAGACTTTGCAAGTTTGCAAAATATATGGATGCATATATTAGACAACAGAAGAAAACCAGAAGCAGATGGCCCTGCAGCAAATCTGGGTGAGACGGTTCTGAGCACAGCTCTAATACACACACTTACCTGCCAGGAGTCCTATGAGAAGCATTACAACCCATCCTGACCAGGCGTCCAGCAAACTCTTGATGAACTCCCATATGGACTCCTTACTTTTGCTTGTAATCTGAAATAATACATATTTATGTACTTATATATATACATATGCACTATTGCTGATTCAGACTGATACTGTTTCACTGTATGACATTTACAACAAAAACTATTTCACTTACTGGAGAGCAGACATCATTCCTTAGCTCCCTACTCCCAATCACATTTAGAGATGCTCCTGTTCACTCTGGTTAAGTGACAGAAAGCATTTTCATATTGACAGACTCAAGATGCACCAAGTCCATGTTTTCATAAACCCTACTGATATTATGCAAGCAGGTAGGAAGAAAGAATTCTGGAAACTTGCTTGTTTTTCCGCAGTCAGGGTGACTGTAACTCAGGGGCTGTGATATATTAAAGCCTTTATTCCCTTTACCTTTCTGTGCCTGTCGGTGTCACGGGATTTCTCCCGCAGCCAGTCAATGGTGTGGAAATCTTCGTAAGTCCCAACGTCAGGGAAAGGCTCATCCAAAAAATCCATCAGGTTGCCAGAACCATTCATGTCTCCTGCATTAACCATATTAGGATCTGTAGATGGGGGAAGAACAAGCATTTCAATAAAACCATGTAGCTTTGCCAGACACTGTAGAAATAAGGTTTCCAAAATCTCACCACAAACCGCTGCCAAGCTTGCCTCAGTCAACACTCTTAGGAGGCACTTACTGAAATCTGTGCTATGCCACTTCAAGTATATTGCTAAAAACTCTTCCAAAGGCTTGGTAAATCCTTAAAAGCACATACAAAAAGCACAGCATTAAAGGGCAGAACACCTAGCTCTCCTGAAGATGGAGATTTTCATCCTTAAACCCAGGATGGTTCAGGGGTTCCTCTGCAACGATGCAGCCCAATCACATGCCTGAAGAAGCGCCCTTGACTGCTAGGAGGTCTTTTCACAGGCAAGGTGACTAGCTCAGATAATAAATGATAATTCACTAGAGTTTAGTACTAGAAAATCAGAATTGCACAGCACTGATATGGCAATATTACTCATAATACTGCACTATTGTCTGTTTTCTTCCACATGCAGTTATCCCTGCATTGATGCAGATTTCATTCACTGCTCAAAATGATTTAAAAGACTAGATTTGAGGACACGATACATCTGCTCCATACAGGCTCTTGAAAGATGCCTTTATGAAGAAGGCATCTTCTTCAGGTTTTCTTCTCAAAGGCCAGGAGCAGAACTACTGTTGAGGAATTGGATGGTAACCTGCTATCCCACAGATAAATATTTCATATTTGCTTTTAAGACAATAAGAGGAGAAACAGCCACTATATGCACTGGTAGAGCAGAAGAGGACATATAAAGATATCCAGCCCCAARCTGTAAGAGCCAGCTACCATGGGGCACTTGATAGTTAAAAGGAGGTCAGAGTAAGCCTGAGAGATATGAAAAAATGAAAATATTCGTGCCCATTTTTTTTTCTGGTGTCCTGGATCTCTACCTGGTTTTTACAATGATGGTAAGTAAAGCAATAAAAAGTTAACTCAGAACGACCATGTCTCTCTCTCCCACAGAGACCTCAGGAACATTTGGCGTGGTGCAAAAATGATATAGTCTCCTTCACTGAAAGCTCAGGTCCCAAGACAGTCCGTCATATGCCAAACTCCAGAAAAGCTTGATACCATGCCTGATGAGAGGAGCCTTTGGTAGCAATAGAAATCTATTAAATAAAGTAATTTAGGCACAAAGGGCTGTCTAGACTGTAAAACTATCTAAGCTGCCTTTAAAGACAAAGATGTGCTGCTCTAAGGAGCAATTAAACACATTCACTCTAAAATCAGTGTCTGGGAAATGGGGTCTTTGGGAGAGTACCCTGGGTCTGTAAACTAACGTGGCTGGCAAAGGAGTGGCTAACTGCAGATGAGGTTATCACGACCTCCAGGAGTTTCAGAGGGCCAACATCATGATTTCATATGTGCAGAATTTGGATCTTTAAATCAGTGAGAAAATATTCTAATTCTGTCATTAGAATATGCAAAAATGTGGCAGATAAGTTTTAATCAACAATCTGTGAACTCTAATCTGTTGCTATCCTCAACCCTGTTTATTTCCTTCTTTCTTTTTTTTTTTTTTTTTTTTTTTTTTTTTTTTTTTTTTTTTTTTTTTTTTTTTTATTTGAATCCTATCCACGTCATGTTTTTCTCTATTGGTGATTCTAGGGACATAACAAGCAGCAATATTCACCTTTGCAAGTGCCTGCCTCTTTGCACTCTGCTGGATAGGACTTTTCGGACTACACAGAAAGTGGGCTCAGCCCAAGCAGCTGAGAAAAGCATTATCTTACAGGCAAAGAGCAGGTCACCATTATAATTTTATAGAAGCACTTTTAAGTACGGAAATCAAATAATCTAGCACCATGGCATGTTTGTCTGAAAGAGAATCAAGCAAAGAGGTCACAGCCTGGGGAAGGAAACCAAATGCAGAGCAGGTGTCCCATGCAGCGCTGAGCACACATAATCTGCCACAGGACTGAGGCAATTTAAAAACCAGCAGTCTTAAGGACTTAGTAAAACAGATGAGAAGACACTCCTACATTTCCTAAGGGAAATGAGAATCTGAGGATGGGATGCTGTGGCTGAAACCAGGCAGCTGAAGTTGCAACTGGACCTTGACTTCAGTGTCTTCTAGACCCAGACTGAGAACTGGAACAGGAAGGCAAAACCAGGTGAATGGATTAGGCCATATTATTCTGTATCACTGTCCTAGGAAGACTTTGCACTCGTATTTTACCACTCATTTGCTTCAATCCATTMTTTCTGTAAAGAATATGCAACTCAAACTGCTTGCTTGCACCTAGGCAAATCCTTCTTACAATATAAACATACTTCTGGGAACTGATATGCTGCAAGGATTGGCCCTTTTTCTTAACGCAACAAGAAAACTACCCAAAACACTGGCTATATSACATTAAAAAATAGCTTTTTAAGTACGTTGCCAAAGCGCACCACATGACAGTATTGTGATGGATAATACTAGGCCAGACCACAAGTATGTAGGGTAATGGCAATCTCAGCCTGAATCTACCCAAAATACGTGCTAGAGAACATGTTCAGAGAGAAGAAAAAAAGTCCTAGACACCAGAGGACCCTGAAACACTTAGAAAACAAACAAATTTTGGACTTTACCACCTTCCAATACCTTGGTGTAGAAATGGCAGCTGAATGAGTATCAGCCTTGAACTTCACTTCAAATACACTTAAAAAGTCTCTTCAAAAATTCACTTCAAAATTCTCTTAAAAGCAGAAATGTGATATCAGATYCTGAAAGTCCCAGTTATTGCAAATCAACTCCAACTACAGCAGTTGTGAACTGAACACTATGGAGTWCCTATCTCATGTCCTAAGTACAAAACACCAAACATTTCTTTATTTGTCTTTATTTTAAATTTATCTCACTTAACTTAGGCTTCTGAAACAAGGCATCTTCAAGGTTTACTTCAGGATGACATAACTTGTCCTCTAGAGATTCTTGTTTCTCTGCAAATGGTACTGATCCCAACACAAATAGCTCAGTCATAGATATTTTAGTTTAAGGCATAGATATTTTAGTTTTAGTTAAAGGCAAGTGAGTCTCAGCTAGAGATGTATTGCAGCCAATGAGACAACATAAGTTGTCTCACCTAACATAAATCTGTTACCGACACGAGTCCCTAGATATCCAGACTTCTTTCATAGCTGTTGAGGAGTGAGAAGCTCTTTTCAGGTGCAATTTAGGTGATGTTAGACATTTAGCCGTTTCTTAGACATTTAGCTGTTTTTAGACATTCACTTTAGAAAGAGGTGAATCGTTCCCTAACAGTGCCACTTTCCATTCCCTGATGGCAGCTGTCAGACCGTAAGCACCCACACTTCATCAAGTGAGTCTGACCCTAACAATCACGAAGAAAACTTTGCAACACAGACATATGCAGAATTAGCAAGGAATGCAACTTGTAGCCATTCCTACCATGTGAGCATCTAGGAGATCTGGATACTCTGACAATTTTTATCTATTGAAAGGTCTTGTATATTTGTACATTGCTSAGGTACTACTTAGTTTATGCATTTTGTCATTTTGTCCTGCATCTTAGATGTCCTTGCTGTCCTTTTCACTGCTTTTCCAGGTGCTGATAATTTGTGTCACAGCAAATGTTTCCTGCTTGGTTCTCTATTCTTTTCCTAATAATTCCTGACATTCCAATAGCTTTTCSTAGGCACACATCCAACATTTTCATTAAACAATCTGCTCTAACTCCAGGATATCTTTCATGAGAGACAGTGGCTGGTGTGGAGACTATTATTTTCTGCACTCATAGGGTCATTCTCCTCATTGCTCTGGCTTTACTGATTCAGTCAATTTAGAGATTTATATCTGACTCAGATTTATATCTGCTGTTTTATCCCTTGCAACTTAATATGGTGAGATCCTTCTTCAGCTCTTCACTGTGAGCTCTCATTTTTAATGAATAGTTCAGTGCCTCTAAAACTAAGCATTTTTTTCAGTACTCCATTCTAATAATTCCAAATAGATTCTTGCTAAATCCTGAATGAGGAAACAAAGAAATTCAACCAAAACAAAAATTTCCTGAACTCAGAGTGTTCTTGCAGGATTAAAAGATTTCCCTGGGTCAGGAATTTTCCTGGGTCACCCATCTCAGAACACTGTTGTCCTATGGAGTAAGATCCTGGCAAGGACCACTTCATAAATCAAGGTTGGCCACGGTACTGGAGATTGAGACTCTCCTGGGTTAGGTCAATATGACATTCACTTCCAGATCTCCCAACTAACTGCCCTTGATGCTTGATATTTTAAAGCCAGAAATGCTTTAAAACTGCCCTACAAATGATGAGGTATGACATGAGAAAAACTAGAAGCAATGGTAAAAGATCAAGCCTGTGAGACTTCATAATTATGAGAAGCCATAATTATAAAAAGCCAGATCATTTAAAAGTATTTAATCACTGAAGCCTCTTGAGGAAAGAGGCCAARAAATAGACTAGTGCCTGCAAACAAGTCTGTGACACTAACACAGTGGTCAGGAAGGGGCTGGGACACACAAAAAGCACAGCAGGTGCTATTACATTATATTGCATCCTATTACATTSTCTCTTTTTTATTATTTTTTAAAGGACTACAAAGATCATGTGTGGTTGATTCAGACTAGCTGTATGACACACTGCAACGTGGCACTAAGTTTATGCAAGAGGAATGAATTACATATGTTACATTCATGACGTAAAGACTGAGAACCTCTCAGGTTTATAGCACCGTTGCAGCATGTATGAACGTGAAAGCCATAGGCAGAAGAGCTGTATCAGTGAATTAACAATCTAGGTATTATGCTGACTGATCTGATCTGAAATATATTTGACATGGCAAGCACAGATGAAAACATCCCGTGGCTCAAAGAAGCTGAAAAGTATCCTGATGGGAAACAACTAACTGAACAGCCATCAAAGGAAAAGTCTTGGCCCTTGCCTATTGCTATTAGGCCTGCTAGTTCCATGCTACATTCTCTTCATCCTGTTTTCTGTTTTAATTGGAC